GCTGGACTTGATGATCTCAGAGGTCTTTTCCAGCCTCAACAATTCTGTGATTCTGTGATAATGAAAGCCAAGTGTAGACAATACACAGGACTGTAATACATAGATGAGGAATTGACTGGGTAGCCGCATAGAGGAAAATGGCATTTGCCCAGCTTGAACACTATATGTAATTTGAAATTTTACCTGAATTACCTGAAGAACAGTGAACATAATGCAGAACTTGTTCTGCTGCATGTGTCTTCTGTTGGTGTAATGTTTGTGATCTCTAGAACAAGGAACAGAATTAGTGTCACTGTAGACGTCTTTCTCTTCCTAGTCTAAATTATTTGATAACTTTCAGAAGATAAGTCAGTCTTCACAATGCTTTGTCACCAGAGCATCCCAGTAAGAAAAATAGTGTATCTTCATGCAGACGCAGAGCACAGGGAAACTCTAACCATGAAGAATGTTTTTTAAAAAAAGTCTATAAACAAGCATCCAGTTCTGAGGGTGGAGATCTGACAACTCCTGGATTATTCTTTCTCATTGTGTGATCCTGCTCCCATCACAAGCTGGTGAGAATTTGATTAAAAAATTTCTCCTTGAACAACTTAATATTCCTGAGCAAGAGGTGGTAAGAATTGGTCATATTATAAAATTATTCAATTAAATAAGACTTTTCTGCTGATACATCTCATAGTAAGAGATGGTATTTGGTAATTGTAAAAGTGATGATCTAATTTATTCTAAAGTCTATGATTTATTATGGTTACAGTAAGAACTCTAGATGTTAAAATGGTCTTACTTCCCCTTACAGTGCTTTTTTGAGAGGACCAGGAAAAATCATTAAGTTGATCAAGCAGATTTGCCTCTTAGCCAAACATTCATGTGGAGCACATGCTCTCTATTGCAGTTAAAAATTGTTTATTCTCTCATGGCAGGTGTTTGAGATGGATATTTCCAAACAGCTCCATGCCTACGAAGTAGAGTACCATGTTCTTCAGGATGAACTGCAGGAAAATGTGAATCCCTGTGATGAAGGTGAACCCCTGGAGAAGCTTGAGAGGGCAAACAGTCATCTGAAGAGACAAAACATGGATTTATTGGAGAAGCTACAGGTAAATGTCTTAAGACTATAAACTTATGGAGAGGTCATTTCTGTGATTCAGCCAGTAGAGGAGTCAGTGTCCTTTTAAAACGTAGATGAGACGTCTCTTAACTGCAAGACCTTACGCAATTGAGCAGTTCTCTCAGTTACAGTGATTTACTTCTGTTAGACATATTTTTAACTCCTTTGTCAATCCTTTTCCGTCTTGATTTAGATTTCTGTTTCTCAGATCTCTACCTTTATCTCCTATAAAATCTGTTGACAAAGGTTGTGTATCTTGTTTTGTTCTCTTTGCCTTCCCTGTTGGAAGGTTTCAAAAGCAGTAAGGTTTGCTTCCTCCAGGCTTTTGTAGGCAGTATCATTGTTTTCTTCTGCTGAAGCTTATAGTCGTACTTTGAAAGGTAGTCTTTCCTTGCAGACTTAAATACAGCTGAGTCCTGACCAGACTTTTACCAATAGTCATGTTTTAAAAAAGTCTTCCCTTCCTCCTTCACTGTTCACCCTTTCTCCCATATCCCCGCCAAGACTTGTTTCAGGTTTCAGTATGTATTGTCTTACATTATCCTGAAAGATCAGCTCTTCTTTTAGCATTACCAGGCCATTTCTTTTATATTTGTTAATTTGAACAAGCATTGGGAAGACTTCAGAAAGCACCAAAAATAGAAGCAGGGAAAAAAAGGAAGAATCAAGTCCTCATTATTTTTTCATTTATGTGCTAAGGGTGTTGTACAGTGTTCTGATGTTGAAAACACTTGCTTTCTAAACTATTATTATTTTTTAAATTTACTTTAGAAGAGGATTGAGCCCACAATATTTTTGGCACCTTATTCCTATACATACCTACTCTTCTGATGAGACCATCTAACTTGAAACATCTTTACCAAAAATTACAGGGTTTTCTTCTTTTCTTGTCCTGAAGGCATGCAAAACTTAATTGATTGCTGGGTCAGTAACAGTCATTTATATCTATAAAGACTTATCATGTCCTTTTGCAGGTTCCTCTCTCCAAACTTCTTAGCTGTGTTCTCTCAAATAAATTCCCCTCTTGTTGGTATGTACTGCTTCTCCAAATTGTTTTATTCAATTTCCTTCTATCTCTTTTTGATTCTGATCCTCTTCACTGAAGTGTTTGCAGCCTTCCCAGAATTATCTTTCTGTCTCCATTCCCTCACCCACGTTAAGGATAATGGCAAAGGGAACAGAGGAACTCCGTGAAACATCTTCCCAGCTGCACAGCAGGCTGTTAATAACTGCTTTTTCAAGACCATTTTCAACATTGATGGCACCCACATTAGGATTTTGTCCCCAGATCCTTCTGTGGCTTAATCTCACTTGAGAAGGCAGGCCATGTCTCCAGGGCAAGCAGATGAAGCTCTATTCCCTTAGCAGAGTTCAGTATCTGTATGTTTTTAGGTAGTTGGTGACCCTTTACAGCCAGGCAAACCTGTTTAGCCAGTCCTACGTTCACATCCTGGGGCAGGAAAACATGCCAGGGTGTACTAAAATGTATCTTTCTTCTCACGGCATTTTTTTTTTTTAAAAAAAAGCATTTTATCTAAATTTCTATAGTCGTTCTGTCTTCGACCTCTGTTTTTGCTCTCTAGTTAAAATGCACTGTGTTAAGTATATGACAGCTATTAATCTCTTATTTTTAGGTAAAGTCAACGGAGTTGTTGAGCAGTCCCCGCTCTATGTCAATCCTCAGCAAGGCCAGTCTGTCAACGTGACCTGTGCCTTGAGGAGCTCCCATGGGTATGAGGAGCTCTACTTGCTCAAGACACACGTGCAACGTGAAACGGTGCTGTATGTCTCAAGTCAGAACGCTTCAACTGTTTGTTCTGCTTTTGCTGATCGCTTGGAGTATTCAGAGGAAGAAAAGAAAATAGTGATAACTCTACGCAACTTGCAGAAAAATGACAGTGGTGTATATGTGTGTGCTGTGGTGATGAAAAATTCCTCTTTCCTCTCAGCGAATGGGAGGGGCACAATGATGCTCATTAAAGGTACTATTCTTTTGCTTATTTAAATAACTATAGGCATGTTGTAATACCTAAAAGCTTGCAGAACTTTAGTCAGGACAGGTAAAGCACGAATCCATGGCTATTCTTCTAGTACCTGGGAAAGTTTGGAGAGTGTGCTCAGACTCCTCTGCACCCTGTTGTACTAGGACACACACAAAAAAAAGGCACTATGTTTTCTGCCTCCCTTGTGCAGCTAGGACAGAATTCTAAAAGAGAAAACTTGCTATAATCTCACATCTCCCCACCAAGAAAGGTCAAAATCAAACAACAAACACTTTACATGTGTGAATAATCTGTCAGGTTTAGGAAATTGATATTTTTAGCATCAGTTCTTTGATTATAACGTGACATAAATAACTTTTGGAAAGCATTCCTTATAGTAAGTCTTGATGTTCAGAAATAGGTCACGCTAGGGAGTGCAGAACAAGTCCTCAGGCATTTACTTAAAGTATCACAGATAATAGCAGAGATGATCTCACACACCCTTATTACACACGGAGCGCATCATGAGCACATATTTCAAATACAAGGTTTTTTCTTTTTCTGTAGCATGGTGGTGCACCCGTTTGCTAAGATGAAGACAAGCCCAGCAGTATACCGCTTAATTTTGATCTTATTTGTGCAATTTAACTCTGTGCGTTTTGCTGTGATGAGATCTTTGGGTAAAGTATCCATAGGCCGTAGAGTTGCAAGGGATCTACTGCAGTCTGCAAAAAAGACCAGTCTCGGTGTCTGCCTCCGTCTGTAACTGGTCAACAGCTCAGCAATGTGAGTTGGGGAAAAGGGCAGCTCTACATCAATGCAGCAGGGTGCTGTTATTCAGATTTGATTTAACTGAGGTTTTAGAGAATTTTCCACTAGCATTATTCTGCTGGGTGGGTACACTTCAGATCACAGCAGCCGCCTCTTCTTTCTGTACTGTTCACAAACCTACCTGCTCTCTTATTCCTATATAGAATGGCTGGAAGGGACCTTAGAGACCATCTAGTATACTCCTGGCCGAGCCCTTAGTGTTGCTGTAATGCTGCAGTAAAACATTTTCTGTTTCTGTTAGGAGTGTGTGCTCCTACCTCTGGCCAGTGATGTGGAAGCCATTGCCTTTGCAATGTGCACCACACTGCACCAGCCTCTAGAAGAGCCCAGGGAATGCTGGAGACAACACAGACTGACAGATGTGCCTGTGTAGCTGTTGATATCTGATTTCTTGCTGACTAGTAAATAATTTCCTTCACAATAAAAATAGAATTCTACCTTAACAATAAGAATAATAGTATAATTTTATATGCAGAAGTGGAGCAGTCAGAGTGTGTTTATAGTTCCTGGGGCATCTATGCTCTTGTCATCGTGGTCGCGCTACTGTTTTTGGAGCTAACGTGCTGCGCCTTGTACAACGCCAAGGTAAGTATGCTTCACCGTGCCACAGGAAACCTAAATCCCAGTTGAGCGAATATGTCCCTTTGATATTATTTCTAAGTACTGAGTCAAGCAAACATTTGATAGATGTAAGGAATCATGGCTTTCTTTTGTCTCCTCTGTGTCCTTGTTTAATGTCTCCCAGCTGTAAAGTCTTGCCAGTAAAGACTGAGTTTTCTTATGTTTCTGTAACTCTTAGTAAATGAGGTATTGTTTGCCTTTCGTAATAAGCCTCACGTAACCCTTACAGTCAGGAACACACCCATGTGTTATATGTATTTCCCTGAACAGAACACCTCACTAGTCTGTTTTGCTGTTGATTTTTTGAGGGGAGTCAACTGGGAAGGGAGTTGTATATACCAACCTTGTAGTAGATGCAAGAGGAGCTTTATTTATGTTAGGATCACAGTTACATCCAAGTCTTGAAGGAACTTTTAGTGAAATTACATCAGACTGACAATAGAACGTTAAATAAGTTGATAATTTCTACCTAATCCTCTAAGACCTCCTTGGGTTATGAGAGGAATTTTGAAGTAAGAATCCCGAGATGTAGATTATCTCCTTGGTCGGGGTCTTTCAAAGCTCTGTCCTGGATGACTGTTTGCTTTCCTTTGTAGATGAAGAAAAATTTTCAGAAAAGAAACCCAAATAACACAATATATGAAGATATGTCTTACGGTTCCAGACGTAACACCTTGAACAGAGCCAACAATTATATGAATAACAATTAAGCTTTTGCCAGTGGGACCATGTACGGATTGACCATTCCTTTACAGATCTCTGTGAGAGCTGCCTTAGCAACCTGATGCTGTGGCTGAACTGAAGATGCAATCACCTACCTTCTACAGTGAAAAGCAAAACCTGCCTCATTTCCAAAACTGTTTCTGCTTTTTTTGCTCACTTGTAAATTTCATGTATTTTTTTTTAATGTATATAAAATGTCAAGAAATGCGGGTACCCTGCACATGTGTTTGCAGTTTAGTATGGAAAGCAGTATTTTTGTACTGCACATTTGGCTAGATGCAATCTGCGCATTCATTTCTTTGATTAATAAATAACCCTTCCAGTGAAGGTGAGATAGATGGAGAGCTCTGGTTCTGAGCTTTGGTAAGTGCTCAGGAAGACCATAATGGGCTTGTATAATAATATGCAATGGATCCACATACGCGTGGATTACAGTTTTCTTATGAATACTCATGGGTCTCTCCCAGCTCAGCCAGCTAAAACGGCTCAAGCGTTGCAGCAAAGAAATGTACTCTGAAGAGACTTCGGAAACGTTGTGAATGAGTGTGTCACAAGGGAAGTGCTGGGTATGTGTGGGTTTATCTATTTGAAGATCATGATGGTCTCACAAAAATGATTTAAATTACTGCTTTTGTCAGAGATAGCAGCCTGACTGGTGTGGGTCTTGACTTGGTTGACATCCCAGAGGGCTAGACTTGGAGCATGATGGCCTTTTGGGACGTAAGATATATTTGTGACATGCTGGTGTTGTCTCAAACTCCAGATGCAGAACGCATTTCTGCAGGTCTGTGACTTTACACTGGACAGTACAAGGTGAACTACTCCAGGGTAAAGGTAATGCCTGCATTCCAGTCTGGGGAATTTATCAAAACCACACATCTGTCAAGTAGAAACTAAATACTGTTTAGTAATGGCTTATAACAGACTGCTACAGTGAGCTTAACTCTCCTCCAGCTAAGGAGGGACTACAACTTCCCTTGGGGGTGTTCTGGATTTGCAGAGCCTGGTCCACTGTGGAAAGTCAACAATCTTCCATGCCCAGAGGAATATCAAATTGCCTTTGTAGTTTCTGGGGACAGGCTGAGCCTAGAATTTTTCTTTATCAACGTATTTATTTTTTTGAGGGGTTAGGAACGGTTTGCCGTTGGTGAGAGCGTGTAGCTGGAGCAGAGCAGACCCAGGGATCCTCCCTTTCTGGAAGTGAGCTCTGCTGAGATGCCAGCTTGCGGAGCCAAGCCTGCCGCTCAGGAGAGCCCCTTTGCTTCCACCTGTCCCTGGGGAAATGCTGTGCACCAGACCCGAGGGAAAAATGTCCTTGCTCAGGTGGCTGGTGGAGGGATGGGTTTACCTTGTAAGCAAAGAAGTGTCTGTTGATGCCAGACCCTGCAGTTTTCACATCGTCGTACCTGAATAAAATCTGATTTGTGTACAGTTGCTTGATATTTTTACACATACATTAAAGATTACTTCATACATCTTGCAAATGAATGGACTAATTATTGAATGGACTGTTTCTTTTAGTGTTTTGGGTGGTTTTGTTTGCTTTTTTTTAATAGATTGATTTAAAGGCTTCTTGCAAAATGCAATATAACTTGCTCCTAAGAGCACCTCGATACAGAAAATATTAGCTATTTTCCACTTTATTTACATAATCTACCTGGGAGTTTTTTTCAGTTTAAAACTAATCACTGAAGAAAATACCAAAGGCCACTTCAGAGGGTGTGGTCTCGTGCAGTCCTTTCACAGCAGCTAAGATAAAACTCCTGCACCGCAGGAGACAGCAGCAAGACCAAGCAGTCCAAGTCTCAAAATCCCCTGCAACATTTAGGACATTTCTGTCTTTGTCCTCAGAGAAGCTCAGCTCATGGCGGATATAGAGCCAGGGAAAATGCTCGAACAATTAGATCCCAATCTAGGAACTAGTCAATGACTTTATATCACATTTTCATTTATGAAAAAAGGAGCATGTTTCATAGAAAAAGGATACTGCCATAGAGACAGTGTAAGGAGGCTCGAAATGAGCAAACTGGCATTTGAGATGAGCTTTCTGTAGCAGTACTACTGTGCAAACATGACCACAATTTTGAAGAAAAACAAGCTGTGAAGGGAAACAGTAGTGGAGGTGGTTTCTTTGGCTTGGTGTAAATAAATAAATAAATAAATGTAAAGCTTAGCTGGGGGAAATGACATACTGTGAGGCATTTCATCCTGTGTAGAGGGGCAGAGAATCAACCACACAGCTAACCCAGGCAGTGCTAAATGAGCTGCTTGAAGACAACTGCTGGGGAAGTTAGCTCAAGAGTGTCAGAGTAAGGGGATGGATATTTGGTGGCTCAAGAGAGTCAAAGCGGTCCTAAAATGCATTATGGCCCCAGAGCTTCCCTGGAAGGCAGGCAAACTGATTTTTTCACCTCTACAGTTGAAGACAGAACTACTCCGGGCTTGTCCTGTTGGCTTTGCTGTTTTTCTCTCTCCTGTCCCTCCTGCAGTGGGGAGGGAAATGGTTTTCAAGGAGAGATAGGAAGTGCAGAACAAGGCTCCGAGACTGGGTGAGGACCCACAGCAGTGAGAAAGGTGTCAGGGTGTCAGCAATGTCCCCAGCTCCATTTCATGAGATAAAGGACAGAAAGTGCAGCTGGGAGCAAAGCAGCCTCAGGTTGGGAAGCAGAACTGCAGCTCCAGTATCAGAGTTTACCAGACAGGGATGGAGAAAGCTGAGGTAGCTGAGCAAGAACAGTGTGCCAGAAGCAGAGAAAACAGAACAGGCAAGGTACAAGCCATGTCAGAAGTGACTCAGGGGGCTGGGTCTATATAGAGTGGCCTGGGTTGAGCTCTTGGGAGGGGGCTGGCTTGTCAGAAATAATTTTTGGTTATTTGCAAAACTGGAGAGACCAGCAAGCACATGTAGATTACTGCTAATGCAGCCCATAGGCTCAAATTCACCTGAGTAAACCATTTTAACCCGTTGACTAAGGCGTGCCAGAGAAGTACCTGCTCGAGCTCAGATGACAAGGAGGTTGATAAGCCAAGTGGAGCCACAAAATATTTTCAAGGATCACTCTATACAGGACAAAAGTAGTTTCTCCTCTTGTCGTGGCTTGTGATGTATTGCAGGACACTGAATTAGTTCTGGTGACTATCCCGCAAGCAAATGTTTACATGCTTCCAGCAGTTTAAATGCTGCTCAGCATATTTCTAAAGCCTACCTTGGCAGAGTTCCTGGAGGTAGTTTCCTCCACTCTTCTGTCCCTGTTTGCTGCTTATGATAATTCTTCTGTCCAATAGCTCGTGTAGGAGACATTCTGTTATGATTTGGAGGATACAACCAAAATACGGTGGTTCTGGTGAAGGAAAGCAGTAGCTTGTCTGGTGAGATTGGTGATTTCTCGGGGTCTCTGTATTAGTAAAGAAAATATTTCCAGTCATGATGTACAATCTTCTGTAAGCATTTGTTTTTCAATGCATTTAGTTTCTTTTTGAATGTTTTGTAACACTCAGCTTGCAATCATGTATTAGCAGTCCGCTTATAGTCAAATTGAAAACATGTTTGGGTTTTTTTCTGGTAGTTCACAGATTTGGTTTTCACACCATTTAAAGCTCAGAAGTGCTGAAAATCCCTTCTTGGTGCCAGGTTTTTTAAATCTAACATCTTTGGTTCATAAGCTTCTGCTCTAGTTAATGAAGTCTACTGCTCGACATCTAATTTTATGAATATTTGTGAGGTCACGTATGGTTTTTAACACTGTTTTGAATGCTTCAGTAATGACTGGATAATGGCTATGTGCAGCATGCAAGAAATCTCCCAAATTCCACTTGAAATCTCAACAGGTTTTAACTTACTTTTCGGTAAATCACTGAGAGTACGTTACTGATCTTAACTGTCTCGTATGGCCTTGTCTACATTATCTTCACGTGCAGAAGATTTAGACATAATATTAGGAGACCATAATGTGTCCATTCAAGAAAGTGAAATAAGGCAACTAGCCTGAATATTGATCAGAGTGGATAAAACACTTTCCCCTAACTTTAAAACTTTACAGCGGTATCGTCCATCTTTCACAAGCAGATTGTGTGTGCAGCTTGAGGATGGTAAGGGACACCATTATATACAAATAAACTGCTAGTAGGGGTGGATGGTGCTGGTTCCTTCTTGCACAACTACTTTAGAAGAACAATTCCTTTGGTTTTGGTTGGTATTTGATTGCAGCGATGGGATGGCCTATTTCTGAGACTCTCCCCAG